AGGGGAGGCAACCTCAGAGCCATGGGATTTGGGGCCGCGTTTCTCGAGGTTCATCCATGACCCCGCCGGAGCCAATGAACCGGGCCTCCACGATGAGCAGGCCCCGGAGCTTGCGGCAGATGTTTTCGGCGGCTTCCGGCGGGTTTTGTGGCTTCGGCGCGGAGGAGGCGGTCGGTACCTTTGCCATTCCTTTCTGATCGGTGAGTTTGGTTAGACATAGATGGGTTTCCCTGGTTTAGATGGGTTATCCATCCGTTCACCAGGGGAATCCCTGCATTTTTCAACGAAAGGAGGCCCGTGATCTCGCTCGATCAGGAGGTGATCAGCCAGTTCATGGCCTCTGGCTATTCCGTGGTTTGAGGGCGCGATGGGTTTTTTTCTCCCTCTCAGTGGAGCTTCCCTAAGGTTGAACAGCGGCCATAGGGCATGCATCCAACTTTTAATGGCGCCGAGCTCTGACCTTTTAATGGGGGACCCCCTCAAAATGCTGGTGGACATAAACTGGGGTCATTATATTATCAAAGTCAAACAATGGGGTTGTTTCCCTTTAACCCACCACTTAGGGGGTGACTTTGATCATGGTAAAATCATGCGGCCAGATAAACGCACCGAAATGATGGGCCCCAGCAGCGGGTCCCCACATATGCATGCCCTCGCATTGTACGAGATCCAGATTGGGAGATTGGGAGATGGCTTCGGGCCAAGCACCCGGCGCCGATGAGGCAGAGGCCTGCATGGTCGAGATGGCTCCCAGCAAAAGAGGCTTCGCATGGGTTGGATGGTCGAGGCCCCATGTGCGTTTTGGCCGGCATGCATCACTTCTCAGAGAAGAGTGAAGAGCATCCAAAAAGAAGAGGACGAAGTGGCAGATGAAAACCGTTTGAAAAACTGTGCTCGAGGGACAACACCCTTGGAGGGTCACGCCAGGTGTCAGCTCAGGATGGGTGAGGGCAGGCAATGTTGGCCGGGCGTGAGCTGATAGCCATGATCCTGTCAAGAGCACAGCCGTTTTGTGCAACTGTTCCCCAACGGGCTTGCTGCCATTTGAGACTCGCACAGGTTCACAAGTCCCCATAGCCCAGAGAGCAATTGGGCAAAAGCTGCCTGAACGGCCGCACGGGTCTGAACCTCGGCACTACGCACCTAGCCACATGTGGCACAAACACACACACACACACACACACACACACATACAGACACGTTCACACACACAAACTTCCAGCCACCCCCACTTCATCAGCCAGTTCCCAATATCCAGACGTGCACGAGAAGGCCGGCTCCGCCGTGCGTGAGCTTCGCTGCTTGGCCATGCTGAGACTGTGATGCAGTGGGCTCAGAGAGGACAGTGGCCATGAGTTTGAATGAGAAAGCACCCCACAAAACAGTCAAAGGTTTGGTCAGAATATCCAGTCTAGTGTCACAATTTTCCCCTACAAATTCAGGGACCCCATGTCCTTTTATGGCAACCGTGCACATTCTTTGACCGCTCATGTAAGCGATGTCCACCCGGAAGCATGGTTGGATTTGTTGCACAAGCCTGAGGCTTCGTCTGAATGCCACTGCCGGGGGCCTTGACGTTCATCAGCGTCGGTTGTGAAGTTTGGTTGGGACATGGTTCTCTTCTAAGTGGGTGTGGCTCAAAATTAAATAGGAGGGGTTACGCAGGTTTTGGTCCATGTTTCTACTTGCCAGGGTTCGATTTTGGAATTCCGTTTTTTTGCGCCACAGCCAAGGGGCTTTCACGGAAAGCACACGTCTGAAGACGCCTTGGCTGTTCGACTTGGACAATGCTGGTTGGAACTCGCAGGACGGTTTCAAGTTGACCTCGTGCCAAGGCTTCCAAGGCGCTGCCACCCATCACCAACCTCGAGGCATGCGGCCGGGAAGATGTTGCTATGCTGACGTATCGCCTCGGCTCAGGTGTTCTCAGATGGAGAAGGCCGGGGTTCTGACAGCGTATACGCTGCGCAAGGTTTGTTTTTGGTTCTTTTATTTATTTATTTATTTATCTATTTTATTTTATGTTTTTGAATATTGTGGCCTTGCTCATTGGGTTTCCTGCTGAGCATCCATGTGTGCATTGTGGCGATGTTACACGTTGCACCATGTGGGTTTGCCCCTTTGATGGACTCCACGGAACCCCCCCCCCCCCACCACGGAACCCCCCCCACCAAAATGGGCGTGGCTCAAAATTAACCAGGAGGGGCACACCGCCAGGTCTTGGTTTCCATGTTTCCACTTACCAGAACAACCCATTTTGGAATTCCGTTTTTTTTTATTGAGCCGCAGCCAACATGGCAGATTTCCTTGGCGATTTTCCGCCCTCCTTTCCGCGGCGCTCGTGTAGGCTGGACGGTCACGGAGCGGCGGCATCCCTCACGGAAGCCCACGGCCCGTGCACCAGGAGGGGAGGGGAGCTGGCAGAGCCTTCGGTACCGAGAGAAATTGCAATGTGAAACGCCTTTGAGGCCCACTGGGGGCAGCACATGTTTTTTTCCTTCTTATTTTTTGCGATGGAGAAAAAGAGAGAGAGAGAGAGGAGCACGTGGCATTAAGAATCCGCCGGTTTTTGGGTAGGGCCCCTGCGCTCGGAGCGCGCTCCTTTTGGTGGTTGTTCTGCCAGGCTCCCCGCGCCGGAAGTCCGAGGGTCTGCACTGGGCGTGGCTCCCGTGGCTGCGGCTGGGGCTTTTGGCTTCCCGTTGGAACCGTGACGCTGGGAAGGAGCAGACCGTTGCAGAGGAAGGTGCAGCCGTTTTTGGGTGCCAGATGGGGGAGTCGTCATTTTTAGGAGATATTGAGATACAAAAGGCCTGAACGGGGAAGTTGACATGATCCGAGTGCGGATCATGGGAGGGACCGGTTCCCAAGGCTCGAACGTGTTTGCCACTTCCCGTGGAATCCGTCGATACGAGTGTGTTTTTCTTAGTGGACACTCGAAATGGCATCGGCTTTACAAAAACCGGGTGAACTCAAAAGACGAGGCACCATTTGGAGCACCAGCTGCATTCCAATTCTCACTCCTTTCCAAGGAGAAGGGCAATGCTTCCCTGTCAGAGGCCCGGCCCTGAGAGTTCATGGCCGAAATGGGTCCAGTCACAGCGAAGAAGGGCACTGCTTGCTACCCCCACGCGCGGCACTTTTTTGAAGCCATGGCGGCACTTTCCTCCTCTGGGCGTGTCGTTTTTTGGGCTCCCCCCCCAATTTTTTTCGGGGGCAGCCAATATGGAAAACGCCGGCCTCAAAGCCCGAGCTCGGAAAAGACGCCCCCTCCGATCGGTGGCGAGGCGCCAGCTGCGCCAGCGCCGCCGCCGCCCGGGCGCCCGTGGGATTTGGGGATGCAGGCGACAAAAGGGGGCACCGCTTGATATAGCTGGGCTCATGCGGGTCTGCCTTTTTGTTTCAAAGCACAGTGAAAGGAACACCAGCAGGTTGTTTTTCTTCTTGTGGGTGGGGGGGGACTCAAAAAAAGACACACCCATATGGATGCAGTTGCTTTCCAGCTGGCCGGGAACGAGAACCGAAGAGATGCCTGCGACCTGCCGTGGCTTTGCACAAAGCTGCGAGGCTCATGCAGATACCCTCCACGTTGGCAGAGGTGATCAGCATGGCCAGGGCCAAGGCAGGGACTGAGGTGGCTTTGCTGGAAGGGCAAAGTCGACCGGAGACCTGCTGGTGCGTTAATTGGAGGGAGTCCCTCTTGTGGTGATTCAGACCACTTTTGGAATGTCCAATGCAAATTCTACCGTTGTATTAACATGATTATTGAGGGGCCACCAACCTTGTACTAGGACATGTTTTGAAACGAAAGTCTGGGTTCCGCAGACGCGCTCCTTCGGCAAGCCTCCCTGTCGAGAGTGCCGGGCACTAGGCGAAGGAAAACGGCGGCAAGCTGGAACCGGAGCCGGGGGGGGGGGGGGCGGGGGGCAAGCGGGAAGGATCTGCACGAATGAGAGCAGCATAGATTGGTGGGCGACATGGCGCGGCATGCAAAACAAGGTGCACCACACCGGCATTTCCTTGATTGACTGATCAGAGTCTACAAGTACTTGGACTTCTTGCAGTCGACACGATTTTCGATTGAGTTTCCGAAATCAGATTCGAGCGGAACCGTCCTGTCCAGGATCCTCTCGACACGGCAGGACAACTCGTTCTTTTTTTTTTGGGGGGGGGAAGGGAGGTGCGGCTCAGAAGTCGAAGCACATTTTTTTGTTTTCTAGGGGACCCCCCAAAAGTGTGGTTTTCCTTTTGGTTTCCTTTTAAGAACCACCCTCAAAAAAAGACACCCATTTGAGGCGGAAAGACTTTAACTTTAGACACTTGAGACCCGTTCAACCCTGCCTGTCAGACCCTGTCCGAATCAATTCAAGCCTGCGGCCGGCCATCCTCGTCTTGCAGGGGTTGGAATGCATCAATTTTGCGGCAGATTTGATGCTTGGCACAGGCCCCGACTTGAGCGAGGCTCCTGAATGCCCCACCCCCCCCCCCCCACAGTGCGCGCAACACTTCAACTCGTCCGTGACAGAATCTGGAAAACCAGGGTTAAGGCGTGTGATGGCTTGTGGCTGCGGGTCAAAACCAATGGTACATTTTGGGGTAGTCTATTTTAGTGGGAATTGGGATGTTCACTGGGGGTACGGGATTTTGATCCATGGCCAGTGTGACGGCTTGTGAGGAGAAGTTGGCGAGACAGAGGGACAGGTGCTCAGCAGGATGAAGAGCCATTGGCTGTGCCTTTGCTGGCCCCCAGAGTTTGGGGATGTAGGATGTCAGATTGTGCTTCTTTGGGAGCCGAAATGGGTTCTATCAAGCGGGTTCTGCCGTTCTTCCGTATGCAACAAGCTGCAGCACGATGCTTGGGGGACGAAACTCACCGCATCTCGTGTCTGATCCCACTTGTTATATCTTTCTTAGGCCGCCTAGAGGACCGTAGTGGGTGCTATTGCCTGGATTCTGCCGCTCATCAATATGGGTGTGTGTCAAAGCAGGTGACCCCCCCAAAAATGGCGGGTTCCCTAAAAGCGCAGCTTCCAAGGTCCTAGGGTCCAAGGTCCATAAGGTCCATAAGCAGGGTTCCTTTCTTGCGCCAAGCTTTCCTCAACACCAAGCAGGTTTTTCTTTCACACCCGCCCAAAACCGGGGGGTCTGGCATTCCAAAAAGCCGGAATGAATTCCACAACGGCTTGCCCTGGCAAGTGGCAACACGGGTAGACCTGCGGTTTGCCCCTGGCTCTTGAAATTTCTGAGCCCCCGCCAGTCCCCGACTCTGAGACGCGGCGCGATCCGATCCGGTCCCGTAGGCCCCATCGACATGGTGGAGGTGGCGCAGAAGCCCAGCGGCCCCTCCATGAAGGGCGGCTCGGCGTGGGTCGGCGTGGGTCAAGACCCAGAGATCCGGTTCTCGGAGTAACAAAACCAACCCCCCTTTGGTTTGGTTCATTCTTGAAAGGGAATCAATCTCAGGTGTAGGTGGGGTACCAGAGTTTCGAGCCACAGCCATGTGGCCTTTGTGATTGTGGCGGCTTTGGGCACCTTTGCCAGATGCGGACACCTGAACATAAAATGGCAAGGAAACTTGGCTGTCCTTGGGCAAGTGAACGAGCCTCATGCGTTGCTTGGGCTCATGCGCTTTGCTTTCCGCGGGTGGTTTTGTGTGGCGCATAGAGACTGTGGCAGTGCACTTGCAAGCTTTGCCTAAGGAAAGACCGTCACCAACTGGCTGAACCACACGTTGGGCCAGGCCGCAAAACCACCGACGAGCCGAGCGAGTGCTTTTCAGTGAACATCCACCGGCAGGGTTACGTTCCTTTTCTTTCTTTCCCCCCCTTGTTTTTGCCGTTTTTCTTCTTTCCCCCCCGCTTTTTTTCTTTTTGGCCGGTATGCTTGTCCTCTTGATCAGCGAAAAAGACGCTCGTCCTCTGCCGACGCGCCTCTCGTTTTTTTTCCGCTCCAAGTTCCAAGTGCCGAGGCCACCCACAAGCTGGACCACGGCGCGGTGGCCAGCGCCGCGGCCAAGCAGGCGCAGGCGCGGGTGACGACGTGTTCCCAGGAAGAATGCAGGGCGGGCTTGAGGGGTAAGCTTGTCTGATCCAAAATTGGAGAGCCCTCAGGGGATGTCCAAGCAGGCTTGGACGTTTTTGTTTGCTTGCCGGTCGGAAACACAAGAGCCCGATAAGCGGAGCCAGATGGGTATGGCTCAAAATTGGTGAGCCAGGGTTACGCAGGCTTTAGTCTTTGGTTCCATTTACCAGGGCAACCCATTTTGGTGCCACTTTTTTGAGCCACAGCGAGATGAAGAAGCCTGTCCTATTCATAGAGGCCTCCAAAAGTGATTGCCCGCTGATTCATATGGGAGTGGGTCAAAAAAAGGTACTCAAAATGGGTTGACCTGGCAAATGGAAACATGGACTAAAACCTGCGGTCACCTGGTGCTGGAATTTTGACCCGTACCCATATGGACACATATATGCATCAACCAGCTTGCCTTTGCCCGCTTTGCATGTGGCTTGAGGATGGCCCGCTGATTCATAGGGACGCCCCTATGAATTAACTGGTTGATTCATTTGGCTGTGGGTCAAAACCAATTGTACCATTTTGGCCCATTTTAGAACCTATTTTAGTGGTTGGATTGGGATGTTCACTGGGGGCTAGCCGATTTGGATTTTGACCCCTGGCCATCTGGGGTTCCAATTCACCTGGGGCTCGATGTTGATCCATTCCGGGGTAGGGCCTGGCGCACTTTGGCATCGACAACGCGGCGCTGGAGCGGCTGGGCCTGGACCACCAGGCCTCGTCGATAGGGGAGAGAGCCCAACAAAGACGAGGGGTTTTCTGTTTTGGCTTCCCTTAAAACAACCTGAAAAGGGGATCCTCAAACCAACAAGCAAGCAAGCAAGCAAGCAAGCAAGCAAGCAAGCAAGCAAGCAAGCAAGCAAGCAAGCAAGCAAGCAAGCAAGCAAGCAAGCAAGCAAGCAAGCAAGCAAGCAAGCAAGCAAGCAAGCAAGCAAGCAAGCAAGCAAGCAAGCAAGCAAGCAAGCAAGCAAGCAAGCAAGCAAGCAAGCAAGCAAGCAAGCAAGCAAGCAAGCAAGCAAGCAAGCAAGCAAGCAAGCAAGCAAGCAAGCAAGCAAGCAAGCAAGCAAGCAAGCAAGCAAGCAAGCAAGCAAGCAAGCAAGCAAGCAAGCAAGCAAGCAAGCAAGCAAGCAAAGCAAGCAAGCAAGCAAGCAAGCAAGCAAGCAAGCAAGCAAGCAAGCAAGCAAGCAAGCAAGCAAGCAAGCAAGCAAGCAAGCAAGCAAGCAAGCAAGCAAGCAAGCAAGCAAGCAAGCAAGCAAGCAAGCAAGCAAGCAAGCAAGCAAGCAAGCAAGCAAGCAAGCAAGCAAGCAAGCAAGCAAGCAAGCAAGCAAGCAAGCAAGCAAGCAAGCAAGCAAGCAAGCAAGCAAGCAAGCAAAGCAAATCAGACAAACCGCAAACCAAGCAAACCAAACAAACCAACCAACCAACCAAGCAAACAAACAAACAAACAAACAAGCAAACAAACCACAAACACAAACGCGCACATAAACATGAACGGCACACACACACACTGGCTGGCTGGCTGGCTGGCTGGCTGGCAGGCAGGCAGGCAGGCAGGCAGGCAGGCAGGCAGGCAGGCAGGCAGGCAGGCAGGCAGGCATGCTGGCAGGCAGGCACAGACCATACTATGGATTGTTTAGCCGCCAGATCATGATTCATGATACTTCCATTGAGAGTTTAGCACCACTAGGATTTATTGGGTTCCTGCGATGCTTCTCGTTGAAGACTATAGGATTGTTTGCTCTCGCGATCGGGGTTCATTTGGTCGCAATGTCTCTGTCAAGACATCGATGCCTGCAAGGCTGCTACGCGCAAGAATCATTCCAAGAGACAAAGAGTATAAGTTTGTCGGACATGCCAGCCATCCCAGCGAAGTGTTGTACAGCAATCAGCTTCCATTTAGCTTCAAAGTGCCAGCCGGGGAAGCATGAACTCAGACATTGGCAAGCGCAACTCACAGAACTTGAGCGAGATTCAATGCATGCAACGTTGTCATGGTCTCCTCTCTGGCCATCATTGAGGGCTGAGTATGTCCTCGCAGCTTCGCCTAGTGTTTGTCAAGCTGCTAGTGTCGGCTGGTCAGCTACCAAGATCCCCTTTTGTTGTATAACCAGCCTGGAACCAGCAACCTTTGGCACTTAAACGCACCCGAGCCTTCCAGAACAGTCGGCCCGTGTGAAGCGACAGACAGAGACGATGGACGCGGAAGCTGGAACAAAAGGCTAGTTTCTCGGGCTTGCAGTTGGTTATCTCCGCTGTACAGGACAACCGAAGGAAGCAGAGAAGCCTCTACATTGGTCGAGCTGAGTCCTGACACACAACAGCGCCTTTGCAACCAAGAGCCGGAAGTTTTTCCGTCGCCGCTTTGGACCAGAGCAGCGATTCGGTTCAAGTCACCTCGATGATTACTTTGCGCCGTCCAAAAGACATCCCGTATGGGATCCGCGGACTTCAGTCAGGAGTCTTCCTCTGTTCAGTGGCACCCCTTTTCCGTGGCTGCCCCACTAAAACTCCCCAAAAAGTGTGCCCTTTTTTCCAGGGTCACTGAGCAACTGAGCTTCCTGTTTTGTGACACGCACTGGGCCGCGGGACCGTTTCGGGCTCCCCCCCCCTGTGACTGCCGAAACGGGGCGGCCCTTACTTGGAGGAGACTGGAGTCTGCTTGCTGAATTGAGGGCGCAGTTGAGGCGGTTTGCATTCCTACTAAGATTCCCCCACAAAACAGCTCGGCGAACAAATGCCGCGTGTCACGGCTTTTGGGTGTGCGGGACTCTGGTTTGCAAGAGGTTTCTCCTGGTGCTGTTTTGCAAAGCTGTCCTCTCCCCTTCGCCTTGCTTTGTCAGGCCTCGAATCGGGGCCAAAACCGGGGCTGAGGGGTGGGAAGCGCAGGCGGCGGACCGAGTGTACCGGGCCATGTTTGTGTACTCCCAGGGCCTTCATGCGGTGCTGCAGGAGGACGGAAACCTCCGCATCGAATCAAGCGGACGGCCGCGTCTTGCGTGGCGCACACACACACACACACACACACACGCACATTGCGGGTGCGTCTTGTTGTTAGGGGAGCCCGAAAATGGTGGTTTCCTTTTGGTGTCCCTTTTCACCAAGCAAACCGGGCACCCACGAAAACAAATCACACACACACACACACACTTGTAGAAGACAGGGAGCGACTGTTTCGTGTAGACAGGCAAGTTGACTGCAAGGGTCCATGGGAAGTTTCAGAGGGGATGCCTCATGTGCCATGTGACATGTGATGCCTCATCTTCCATGTGATGCCCTGGGGGATTTTGGAGATGCCAAACACAACCATCGTTTTGTAGGCATGGCGCGCGCAGGCGGTGGGCCGGGCGAAGAACAGTTGGACAGCGCTGCTGGTGTTGTGGAGGGCCTTCCAAGCAGTTCTGGAGCAGGCAGGGTGGGGAGTACGTGAGCATCTGGGCATAAGAGTGAAGAGCCATTCGCTGAGAGGCTGGCCAGAGTGATGAGCATGGCTCTGAGAGCCTTGCTGCCCTGGTGCAGCGTGGCAATGAGGAGGAGAAGGCCGGGACGCGGTTGGCAAGTTTCGGTTTCTGCAGGGATAGAGGCCGAGTCCGCATGGTAGCTTGTTGTGGGCGCTTTTTTCTTCTCCTTTCTGCTAGGAGAGGGTCGAAGGCCAGTTCCGGGACCAGATCAGCGGCTTGCAGACTCAGGCCTGGAAAGGGGTATGAAGGAAGATGGTCCAACATTGGGCCCGGTTTGCGACGTAGCCCCCAGTCTAGCCGCAGCCTGGGACCGGTCTCATGAAAGCCGGGTGAAGGACTTGGCCATGCGGAAAGGGCGCCTCTGACCTCTGCGTCGAATTTGTGGTGGCTGAGGTGGAGAGACTGACGCGGGAGCTCCGCGCCTCTAAGGATGAGCCGCGGGCTCGGGGGCTTTTCTGTCGCTTCAAAGGCACGCAGGCCCCCCCCAAGCAGCGACGTGCAGTCCCGAAACGACACGTTAGGTTTCGGCCAAAAGGGGTCCCCCCCAAAAAGACGGACCCAGGTCTGTCCAATGTCTCGGAGCTAATAGGTGAACAAGAAGGGTGCCGGATTTTTTTCTGGACGTTTTGCCGTCCTGCCGAGGCTTCAGCGTGTGAAGGAGGAGCTGTGCCGCGGCTGGGGCTCATGGTGGGAGAGGGTGAGATGTCTTCGCTGCGTGAAACTTCGCTGGTGGCTCAAAAACATGTGCCCAAAATGGCACCCTGGTAAATGGAGCACTAAGCTTGACCCACAGAAGGATTGGCCTCTTCAAAAGGTTGCAGATCTCGGAGCATTCGCCTTGCAGGACGAGATGCGAATGCGAAACGAATGTGAGAAGTACAAGACAGACTTTGTGGTGCGCTCAGATCGAAGCATTCTGCTGGCCCGGCTTGCCGTTGGCCAGTTCTTCCTCCAGGTCCTAAATATCTGTGAAGGCAAGTTTCCCTTTCACGATGTGGGGGTGTCGTTTTTGAGGTTGGACCCCCCAACGTGGTGTTTTCCTTTTGGCTTCTTTTTGCAACCAAATACAAACAAGGGGGTACCAGAAATATATATATATATATATATATAGATATGCGAATATGGCGTGTTTCCGTTTGGTTTCCATTTGACACTACAAGAACGGGGCGGTGCTCGGATCCCGCGCTCGAGGGAGGGCTCGAAGTGACTCGCCGAGGAATCCACGGAGAGGCGTTACGAGGTGGAGCTGAAGAAGCGCGGCGACGCGGAGGCGGGGATCGAGAGGGATGCAGAGAGATGGGGAGACTTGCGCCGAGCTGAGCGGCAGGCTTCGCAGTTTCAACAGGTTTCGCGTTCTTTCTGAACCTGTGGGACTGAACCTCCCCAGCCTTATCTGCTGCTCCTGTGCTTTGTTCAAGGACAATGGGTGTGGGTCAAAATGAAACAGGTTTTGGTCCAAGAGGAAAACCATCATGTTGGGAGGCCTCCAGTTTCTTCAGTGATGGATGTCCATGGAGTATGGGTCAAAGTTAAGCCACCAGGAATTGGGACTGCAGGTTTTAGCCCATGTTTCCAAAAAGCCAGGGTTTCATTTTGGGGTTACCCTATTTTTGACCCACGGCCAGATCCCTGTAGAGATGGCTGTGGTTGGCAAAACCGTGTTGGGATCCCATTTTGGTTGGGATTGGTGAATTCACCACCCATTTTAGAACCTATTTTAGTGGGGATTTGGGATGTTCACTGGGGGTACGATTGGATTTTGATCCATGGCCAGATGATCAAAGACTTGCTGGTGCGATTGGTAGGGAATGAGGGAAATTCAATTTTCATTCCCTTTTGGGATTTTCCTGAAAGGAAACCACCAGTTGGCTGGTTTCCTTTGGGGTCATTCCCTCATTCCCTCATTCCCTAGCTATCGCACCGGCAAGAAGACCAGCCTTCTGCTTTGCTGTCTTTTCCCTTTGCCGTCCTGGACTCGGTCACTGGATCCAGGAGGTCTCCGATCAGAGTCTGGAACAGGTGCCTTTCGGGCCTGTAGCCAGGACTACCTATAAGGGTGCCCCAAGAAGAGAAGGATTGGCTTGGTGTTCAAATCTCGCAGGCTCCAGTTGCTCAAGCGCAACCGCCAGCAAGCTGTCTTGCATTTCTGCGTCATCTGCAAGAAGCCTTCAAGCTACCCTTGTATGAAGGCATGTGCCTTAAGGAAGTTGGATGAGTCAAGCCACACCAGCAGGATGGTCAATTCTCAAGAGTGAAATCTGATTGGCACATGACGCATGCCTTTAGCACCTCTAAGCAACAGCATCCTGGGACTTGGCCGGTATCGCGCCGAGGTTTCGCTGGTTTCCCAGGCGTCGGGGTTCGCTCAGGTGAAGTACCTCGACAAGGTCCGCGAATGCGAGGCTCTCGAGGCCGGGTTTGGGGAGACTGGAGGCTCCGGCCCAGAGTCGCTGAACAATGGCACCCTTGGTTTTAAGTTTGGCTGGCTTGCCAGAAGGCTGACGTTTTTTTTCTTGCCGGGTATATATATATATATATATATGCGCACCTAAGTATATATATATATATATGCGCACCTAAGTATATATATATACACAAAAGTACGCATATGTTTTTCTAAAGAATTCCTATAATCCGACGGCATGTTTTTGGCTGCTCATTGCCATGCATTCTGTAGCCCCTTGGCAGGAACAGCTCAGCAAGAAGGAAGATGAGAACTTGGCACGGGCCTCAGCTGAACCAGGGCCAGTTCCAACTCCAGGAAGGGTTTGCCTCAGTTTCATTTGACCTGACTTGGCTGGGCCGAGGATTTGAAAGAGCGGCTCTACGAGGAGGGGCTGTGGCTCTTGCTGGAGGGCATGGGATGCCTTGCCGGAAGAGAAAGGCCGAGCCTGTGCCAGCATCCTGCCGTTGGAGCATTCGCCAAGCTTGCTTTTTTCAAGACATCACGATGTGTGTAGGTGTGCGTTGCGTGTCAAAAAACGGGGGTCGTTGAAACCACCTCAAAAAGGAGGCCCTCAAACATTTACACACACACACACATATACCCAAGTGGACGCTCCCACTTTTTCAAGTTGTTGCAGCGTGTGATGCCGAGCCCCCTTGCCAGAGCAATATAGGAGCTGGCGTCCAATGCAAAGGCGAAGCAGGACACTTGGGATGATCGCGCTTTCGCAAAGGATCTCGATGAATTCGGAGATGAGTCCGACTTAAAACGGGACCTATCAGAAAGGCCGATTCTGATTTGGCTTCATGTAAATCCTTCCCAGAACCCTAAAAGACGTCCTAGTTTTGGCACATGCCGGATGCTGTAGGGCTTTGAAGGAATGGACTGAAATATCCTGCAATCACATTTTTTGTCATGAGCATATTCATTGTGCCGTGGTGATGTAGCGGTTACTTGCATGCGCAGGGCGCCACGATTTGTGGCAGGCTGCTTTCCCTTTCTTGGGCCACGCAGGAGAACGACGTCCTGCTCAATCAGAACAAGGCCTTTGTACAACTGAAGTGAGCAGTCGGCACTTGCTATTTCACGCAGAGCATCTCCATTTTGACCAGTTTTTCACCAACGACAACAAGCAGTGGCAGCTACTGCCATGGGAAGCCTTTTTCGATCACAGTCACAGGAAAAATGTGTTTCTCGCGCAGGCAACGCTGAAATCAGTTTAAATCCTTGTGAACCCTGGCAGGCAAGCACTCTCAAATCCTTCAAATCCTTGTGACCCGTGGCACGGCTCCTGATCACGAATCCAAGTTGCATGCTCGGCGGAATGCGTACGGCCATCCGCTTCAGGCGCTCGAGGGCCAGGTGCAGGGCCTGCGGTCGCAGGTGCAGGAGGCCGCGGGAGGGGTCCAGCGGGGGTGGCATGGTCTGTTTAGGTTGGACCAGAGGAAATGGGAGTGGCTTTCCTGGCAGTTTTCACTGAGCCACAAAAAGGGATACCCCCTTCAACGAAAAGACCTATATTTTTATGTGTTCGCGCTTTTCTTCGGCGCTCGTGTGGGGCTGGGGACCCGGATGTTGAGAAGCATCTTGGCGCGGTCTCGAGTTTGGGCACGGGCACATGGGTAGCTGGTTCGATTTGGGCCTCAGGCCAGCATCTACAAGCAGCGGCTGGAGCAGCAGGCCGGGAGGACTGGCCACAGCTTGTGACTTCTGGGCTGAGACCGAGCTTGCCGCTACCTTGGGGAAGCTTGATATCTGGCGGGTCAAAAATGCGGTACCCCCCAAAATGATCCAAAATGGCTCCTTTGTATGGAAACATGGGTTCCAAAACCTATGGCCACATGTTCGAAAACCTGCTAGCTAGTTCCTTGATGTTGACCCAGAGCCCTCTGGCACTGGCGGCGGCTCAGGTGGGGCTTCTGAAGCAGCAGATGGAGCAGGCCCTTGCGAAGACCTCCGAGCTGCAGGCGCAAAGCAGCTGGTCTTCTTGCTGCTGCGATAGGTATGGGGAACGAGAATTGGAATGAACCCAAAGGACACCATCCAACGGGTGGTTTCCTTTGAGGGAAATCCCAAAAGGGAATGAAATTCTCTCATTCCCTATGGCAACAGCAAGTCTTTGATCATCTGGCCATGGGTGAAAATCCAAATCGGTTAGTCCCCAGTGAACATCCCAATCCAACCACTAGAATAGGTTCCAAAATGGGTGGTGCACCTACCCAAAAATGGCACCATTGGTTTTGACCCACAGCCACATGTGGATGTCAAGTCTCTGTTGGCTTTTGTGGGGCACTCCATTCTTGGTTGGTTTTAGGAGAACCAGAAGGAGAACGCACATCTTAGGGGTTCCGGACATAAGGCCTCTCTGGAGGCAAACTTAGGTCTACTTGGATGAACGCCTGTGTATTTACCTACACCCATAGCATGCGAGTGCCATTCAAGATTGATATTGCAACCAATGTCTTGTGAGCATGACAGGATCAGCTGGACATCGAGCAGGAAGCCAACAAAAAGTATCTCAGCTGGCACTAGATTTGTTTATGCTCTCTAGGAGAAGGCGATGTGTTTCATTCAGAGGAGCATGAATGATCAACTGCTGATGGAATCGCTGCTTTGGACTGGCCAGAATGCCTGATTTCAATCAACCCCCACATGTGGACCCCTCCAGTCAATAATCTTTGCAATCGCAGACATTTTATTTTTCAATGTGTTTCCGTGAACACTGGGCCATGGTATGTGGTGAATCCCCTGGGTTGCTGGCAGCTTGTGGCAAGAAGAACCCATCTTCCTCTCTTAGGGAATCAACTGGGAATGACCAAGGCTTTTTTTCGGAAAGAACAGAAAACAAACAAAACCATCTTCTCGCTCAGGGCATCATCGAATGACCAAACTCCATCAGGGCTCCTTAAAAGATACATTTTGCCCATTTGACACATGTTGCTTTTTCCAGTAAGTTAAGGGGAAACCACCATTTACAAGGCAATGTTCAGGTGTATAACGTAAGGACCCCCGTCCAGCGTTTTTTTTTTTGGAAGAGCAGTTTGTCGCTGCTTCAGTTCGGGTCATTCCAACTCGCACGTATCGAGGCTCACGGAGCAGATCTCCCTCGAGCAGCGCCAGAGTCGGCGCATGGAGCGGGAGCTGGAGGCGAAGTGGATCGATGTGGGTCGGCTCGTCTTGGCGTCGGCTCGTCTTGGGGCCAAATCGGTGGCTTGGTTTTGGATTCTTTGGACACCCGAAAATGGATGCTACGGGTTCTGTGTTGAAATGGATGCGGGCCCGTAGTGTGAAGCCCACACAGAATAACGGGGCGGGGGTGGGTTCTCAAAGCCTTTGAAGGCCTCGACGAAGCCTCTTCGGATGCTGGGCAATGAATGGGATTCCTTCTTTTGAACTGATTGTGCGGCTCCGCCGCACCCTGACAAGTATCCTCGGAGGAAAATGTGCCCCTGATCACAGGAATTCAGTCCTTTTCTTCCCTCCTCAGAGGACCGACGAAGATGTGATCCGAGCAGCCGAGTGCGTAAAGCTTGAAGCAGTCGGTGCCAAGCGCCTAAAGGCAGGGCCCAGTTCCACTTCTTGTGGCCAGGATGAGCAGCACATGCGCAAGGAGCGGGATCCGGCGGTGCGAAGACATCGCCGGACGGCCGGGCGGTGGACCGCGGCCTCCGATGGCTGTGTTTTTTCATTTTTCAGCTGAGTACACGCAGCGGTGGGAGTGATATCCTCCAAATCCTACAACTTGTGAATTCGCATTCGCGCCTTGTCTCTTCCTTCTTTTTTTTTTTGTGTGTGTCTGGGGGGTGGGTGGGTGGGCTTGGTCTATGCCCCAAACAAAGGGGGAGTGGTTTCCAAAAAACTTGGAACCCTTCCACTGCGGTCCCCTCAGTGGACTTTTGTGGGCCCATGTGGCTGTGGGTCAAAACGAAAGGGATCCCATTTTGGGGGTAGTTGAATTCACCACCAATTTTAGGTTTCCTATTTTAGTGGTTGGATTGAATCGGATGTTCACTGGGGGCTAACCGATTTGGCTTTTGGGTTTTGACTGGCCAGATCAAAGACTTGCTGGTGCCATAGGGAATGAGGGAATGTCATTCCCTTTTGGGATTTTCCTGAAAGGAAACCATCAGTTGGATGGTTTCCTTTGGGTTCATTCCAATTCTCATTCCCATGGCCATTGACCCATGGCCGCGCGCGCGCCTCCTCGCCGCGCGCGCCTCCTCGCCGCGCGAATGTCGAGGAGATGGAGAACGAGCGGAACCTGCTGCGGGAGAAGCTCTCGCGCCTGGAGAAGCAGGAGCTCACCTTGATCGAGGACGGATCGATGGGTTTGGTCGGAAGATGGAAAGTGGGGATCTAAGTTTTTTTTTTGTTTTTTTTTTTCTCGAACCCCCCGAAAAGGTGGGTGTGTGTTTTTCGTTTCCCTTTTGGTGTCCGGTAAAAACAGACAAGAAGACACACACACACACCAATTCATATGGCCATGGATTTGTTTGATGGGGAAGCACTTCATTTGGTGGACGTGCATCCCCACCGAATTCTGGTGTCCACCAGAGGCTTCCGAATCAAAATGAAAAGACTGCGCGAGGGATCCGGGCTGCAATTTGACAGCGGCCAATTGGCCACGGCTGGCCTGCCGGCCTTGGCGGTCGGCATCGAGCCACTTCGGCCAATTTGAAGCCTATCAGAGGAAGCCAGGTTACTGCAATTGCACCCGACATGGAAACGCGTCGACGCTGTGCACCCTACTTAAATGCAGCAAACTACACGTCAAGTTGGAAAGCTGCGCGGTTCGCGGGGTAGCAACCAGCCACCCGTCGTTCTTGGTTTTTGCCTTGCGCCTTTTCGACTCCCAATGGAGAGGCCGTGAGCTTTTAGGGATTCGTTCAGGACGAAGATCCCGAACCTTCTTTCGCAGGCCTGCCTCCAAATTGCTCCTGTGTGCTATGTCGATTGGACATCAGATCAGGAATCCCTCAGTTGTTGGTTTGGATTGGTTGTCTGGTGGATTTGATCATCCCCCTGGTTCTTGTAGAGGGTAAATGAGCCACTTGCTCAAAACCCGGTAGATGAAGGTTAGTAGGGGATAATCCGAACCGTAAGCTGCAGCCGCCTTCTTAATTGTTCACATGGTTCTGGGTCGACCATTTTAGTACCGGGTTTTGATGATGCCTTAAATGGGAAGCCCTTCCGGGAAGCTGATCGGAAGAAGCCGAGTGGTCTCTGCAGGACCGGCGGAACTTGCAGAAGCAGCTGAACGACCTCAGCTTGGTGCACCGCACTGGCCAGATCGAGCTGACCCGCAAGGCCCCGGTTTGATCTTGCGGAACGGAAAGGGGTCCATCCAGGGATGTGTACCCAAATGTGCTTGCGCATGGTTCGGCTGCCACAAGCACCTGTTTCCACGCGAGATGAACCATGACTCATCAAATGCTACTTTCCGCTCGTTCTTTCCCTGGAAATCCAACTTTTTTGTCATATTATACGGATTCGCCTCTCCCTCAAACAACCCAAAGAGTTCCCGACTCCCAACCCCCGGCGGAAACGAGACGATAGATTTCAGGCCGAGCAGCTGGAGCGCACGGAGAAGACGCTGTCCACGTTGCAGGCGCCCGGTTGGGCCCGGACGTCCCATTGGCTCACTTTGGTTTGTGAGACTGGGTCGAGAATCCCTTTGCTGGCCGGCTAGCTGTTTGACACCGGCCACTCTTTCCGCAAGGTGGGATGGTTTCAGATGGCCTTCTGCCGGATCTTCTCTCATTCTTCTTTTCTCACCTTCTCACCTCTTTCCTAACGAAACGAAAGCTTTCCACAGATCTTCCACCAGATCTTCCACCAGATCTTCCACCAGATCTTCTTTCCTCCTTCTTCTTCTTCTCGGCTTTTTCCGAACCCCACGAACAGTTTCCCCGCACGACGCCCCGCGAGCCCGGCCCCGAGTTCCGACCTCGGCGCTGGGCGCTCGGAGCTCAGGTGAGCCACCAGGAGCTCCAGAACTTGCACCGCACCATGGGCGTGGAGCTCGACAACCTGCGCGAGGCGAGGCATGGCGAGAGGTCGAGTGGCCGGGTGGCGCCAGTGGCCGCGTCTCAATAGATTTCTGGGGGTTGATCAGTTTTGGCGGTGGCTCATTCCAATATGGGTTGTGCTGGTAAGTGGAAACATGGACCAAAACCGGCGGTTTGCCCCTCCTGTTTAATTTTGAGCCACATCCATTCAGGGCCCCCGGCATTGACCACGGGTAACTTTTCCCATGCGGGACATGTAAGATACTTTTAGTGGTTTTTCAACCAAAGGTCGTCCCATGTAAAGGAGCTGTTTGATCAACCCACCTTTGTGCCAAGGCCGCCCAGGTCGAAAGACCGGGTCCTTGGAGTTGACCATTGGGATGGTCATCCTGGTAAGGATCCTTTGCAACCAGTATGATTTCTAAGGGAACCATGACATGGCGCATATGGGGGTGTGATTTGTGGGGGGTCCCCTCCCCCCCCAACAACATTGTGGTGTCAGAGGAAAGCCAGCAGGGAAACAACAATTCGGGAACACCTCACACACACACACACACGCATATTCATATTGCGAAACTAGCTTTGCCAGGTCGCGAAAGCGTGCAAACAAGTGTAGAACTGTACAGTTTAAATCTCTTCATTCCGCATTTGCTCGGGTTGCTGAACCGGATAGTGGCTCTCGCCCACTGCATTTGACCGCACATTTGGGCCATTGGGGTGGCAGACAGCGTGCTTGATTGCCAGGACGTGGTGCGGATGGACGACCAGCTCACAAAGGAGGCCGTTGATGGGTGAAGGGCCATTTTTCCGTCAGCTACTCTGTCAGATTAGGGGCACACCTGCCCCGGTGTCAAATTCTGTATCCGTTTTCGCTTCTTACTGGGAGTTTGACTTTGCAAGCAGACTCAAAGTGTAGGGAGGGCTATCAATGCAGAGTCAGAGTGAACAAGATGACAATCAGAACAAGAACAAATTTGGCCGCCTTTTTTGCTACATATGACTGACAACTTGAACATGATTCATCTCGGGACAAGCCATGACTAAGTAGAGCATGTCTTGATTGGCATTCTTTCTCACGATTGCATAGCAGGGTGTTGGCAGTCAGTTGTAGAGCGGAAGACGTGAGGACTCGGACGATCTTGCCTACAATCATTGTTGCTGGCTGCGTACTTCCGAAAATCACGGGTCACCAGCATAGGTGTCTGATGGCCCTGGTTTACCTGATGGTTTAATCATCCACCAGGGCCATCTATTTCCCCTAAAAGGACCCCTATGGTCACCAGTTTGTTTGGCCTGTTCACTTGCCTGGCGCGAGTGATTCATTCGGCTCGCCCGCGCGCAGACGAGCCTGCGCAAGACCCTCCAAGAGGAGAAGAAGACACTGATGGCACAGGCCAAGGGGGATACTGTGGGTGGACAAAAGCGTGCACCACTTTGAAGCCCTGGGAAACCATTGTTTGTTGGCATTTAGGGGAATCATCAGCCAGGCTTTCTTGGGATACTATGCATCTATGATGATCACCCTATTCAGAAGGCAACCCTTTGCATAAGTTTGGACCACACACGTTCTTTGTTTTCACTTGTGTGGGTGAGGGGTGTGTAGTGTGTGTATGTCTCTGTGTGTGTGTTTTGCAGCCTGTCGTTAGCTTATGTTTGCACATCAGCTAGGTGCAGAACCTAGTAGTGCAGCTGGAGACCAGCAGATTGGCGGCCCGGGGGCCCAAAAACGGGGCTGGCTCAGGAACCCCGCGGTGCGAGGGGGGGAGCCAGAGTGATGGCATGTTTCGGGGATTGACAGCTGTCATGGGTGTTTTGAAGGGGATCTTGGAATCGGTGTTCCATTTGGTTCTCCTTTGGCTTCACCACGCTCTGAAAAACACATGGCGCACATGTGTGGGATATGCAGCTGCACATTTGAGCATGTGGCAGCTAGTGCTTTGGGGATTTCTGGGAAGGAGGGTTTTGCCCAAAGTATGCCGAGCATGGAAGCGGTTGAACGTCCAGCTTAAGATGCTTGATATGAGAAGCAGCGAGGGGAAGGAAAGGGACGGGAAGGGAAGGGAAGGGAAGGAGATCTTGATTGCAGGACGTTTCTCTCTCCGCCGTTTCAAGTTCGCAACGACTTGGAACAACACATCTTCCTCACATTTGATTTGTTTGTACAGAACACGTTGAATGCTGCAGAACCCCGCCGCGCAAAGCCTATCTGCTTGCCTGCTTGCCTGCCTCCCTGCCTCCCGCTCTCGCTCGTTGGTTTGTTTACTCAACCAAACTATGTAATTTACCTGCCCTCGTCCACTCGGTTCACTCCCCACTTTACTCTCCGCTCGCAACGCTCCACACTCTCTGCTCTCCGCTCCATTCCGTTCAGTTCCATTCATTCCGCTCAACTCCGAACTATTCCGTTCCGCTCCACTCCATTCTTCGCCAGCCATTTGCTAGCTCATTGGTTCATGGAATCGATTTGTTGATGAATTCAAGGACTCTGGGCCCCGGCACCAGGATCGCTAGTCCTGCAAAGATGAATGCGTGACAGGTGAAGGTCGGGTTGGTTACAGATCCTTTTTGGCTGTATGGGCCTGTCATTTTGAGGGGACCTTCCCAAAATGGCGGTTTTCTTTTTCTTTCCCTTCAAACCGGACGAAGAAGGGGTACCCACCCCTGTACGGAGCCTTTTCCACGCTGTCCTGCGGCTCTGCATAGGCGTCCAACAGCCGATCTTGCGGCCAAGGTCGAGTCCACTCAGCGGGAGCTCATTGATGTCACTGACCACAAGGCGACATTGGGTTTCGTCGCCTTGGCGGGTTCTTCAGGAGATGTTCTGACTGGCATTTGTATGTCTCCATTTTTCCATCCAAGCCGCAAGCAACCAATGCCACGACTTCTGTTTCCATGCTGGTGAAGATCACGGGGTGAAGCCGTCCAGGCTGCGGCGCTTGGAGCGCTGCAGCCCACGTGAAGGGGCAAACCTCCTGACGAACAGCCCGGGTGCCAGGTGCGGCTGGAGAGCATCCTTCGGGATACGAAGCCCCGGGCCCCAGGCGGAATTTTTGCCGAATTCAGATTGGCGTCTTGGGAACCGTTTTGGTGGTGAAAGGGAAACCGAAAGGAACAACCGTTTTGGGGCTCCCCTCAAAAAGCACACAAATGCACCTTTGTCCAAATGGCTCGCAAGACTTCGTTTTGGTCAAGCTGTACTGGTGAATGGCGGGATTTGTCAGAAGGATTCCGTGTTACGGACACTAATTGAAGGAAGTCTTGCGCACAGAAAAGATGAAAGAATAGATGCATGCGCAAAAAAAACATGCGCGAGCGTGTGGCGGGGGAATAGAAGTCGCAAAGAAAAGTGACCCTCTGCGGGTTTTGGTGAAAGCTGGGTTTTGGGTGCAGGCAGTTCTTTGAGCAGCAAGCAGACCACGCAAGCGAATTCATGGTGCGCGCCGTCATTTGCCATATGGGCGTCTCTTTTGCCAAAGAAAAACATCCAGCACTAGTTGTGGCTTTCCGTTTGGTTTCCTTTTACAACCGCTCGAAGAGGGGCACGTTTGTTGAGGCAACTTTCAATATATGCATTTCGGACTTGATTTGCTTGGATTGGCAGGAGGTTTACCTGCAACCTCAAACGTCAGGCAAGCACAATTGGGTGAAAGCAGAGCTCGAGGTCTGCCATGCAGAAAGTGACGCTGGAGCAGCAGATTGAGCAGAAGTCCCACGCACAAAGGACTGCAATGCTAGAGAAGGCGGGATTCACTAGGCGCAAAGCCAAGCGCATGGCTTTTGCTTGCCACTTGTTTCTCTTTGTGTTCTTTGCTTTGTTCTCTTTGCTTGGCTTTTGCTTCGCAGTTGCTCCTGCTGCTGCTCCTGCTGCTGCTGCTGCTGCTGCTGCTGCTGCTGTTCCAATGTTGCTTAGTTCATGGTGCTGTAGGAATTCCTCACTGCCTCATGGTCGCTTGCAAAGTTGCGCAAACAGTCATGAGCCAGTTGGCCAGCCAGGTGATTTCAGACGAGCGCGCTGAGCGGAGGAATTTAGTCAGTGAGACCATGGAGGCACGGTGACACGCGACAGCTGTGAGACGGGGATTCCATGGGCTTGGGTCAAAAATAGGTACTCAAAATGGAACCATACCAGCCAAGATGGTTGAAACAATCTTTGCTGGTACCTTGGCGTTTTCATCTTGGGTCATTCTTTGCTGGTACATGGAAGCATGGACTAACCCTGCGGTATTTTTTGGTGGTTTGATTTTGACCCATACCCCGCTTGCGGTTCTTTGCCAGCAGTCCATTGAGCGCTTGGAGCGGTTGCCAGGTGAATTCGCAGCGCGAGGAGACCTTGGACTCATTGCGGAGGCTGCAGCAGGAGGCGCGCGCGAACTCGAGCGCCCAGAGGCTAGTTGGGTGTGGCTTTTTTAAGGTTGGACCGTCCCAAAGTGGTCATTTCCTTTTGGTTTCCCTTGGGAACCACCAAAAAAGGGGTGCCCCCCCTCCTTCCCCCCTCCTTCCCCCCTTTTTTTTCCTACCGACCTGGCATGGATCGGTAGACCTCGGACCTCAAGCGGCAGCGCTTGGACAAGGAGGAGGAGATTGAGCGGTTCAAGGTGCTGCGCCTTGGCTTGGAGTTGGTGCGGCGTCTTTCTCGGCGGCTTTGGAGTTGGAAGCCGCACGTAGCCATGCCACAGCTTTTTTGCCGTGGCTCATGTCTCCCGCATGCGACACGCGAGGCTACAAGCACAGGAGCAGCGGAACGCGGAGCAGCTGGTCACCGCGCTTTGCCTCAGCTTCGACGGGTCGGTCAAGCAGATTCTTTGCGACTCTGAGACCGGACCTGTGGACCTGTGGACGTATTTGGAGGGACAGGCGGTACCATTGCCATAGCCTCCTACCGGGTCAGCCTCCCAAGTCTAGATCGGCTGGCATGCCCAGGTGGACAAATACCATGCTGTGGTGGCCTCGCACGAAGCTGAGATGCGGCAGATCCAGGCACCCTTGGATGCGTCGTTGCGGTTCTTAGGGGCAAGGTGCTGAAGGAAATTACGCATGTGCAGGGTGCTTTTGGTGCCATGGATATTTTTGTAGCCGTCCGGCTTGGCTTGAAGCGAGTTTGAAGCAAAGTCAAGTTAGTCAAGTGTTTTGCATAACATCCGACCCCAATGCCAGATGTTTCATTCAAGTAAATGGTTGCACTGTGCCTGAGCTGCCTGAGTGCACAATTACTCCTTTGTTAGGCAGGGTCGTGTGGTTGCCCCGTCTGAACGCAGCAGATTGTTGCTGTGGGCGCCAAAGAGTTGATCTCTTCACCGCCATTGGACAGATGCTTCTGGAGTGCGAGCGGGAGGAGGCCGCCCGCAAGATGGCAGAGCCCCGCCGGCACGTTTGATGGCTCCAGCGGACTCCAGCGTCTGCCGCTTTGAGAGAAGTTGCACCCAAGATCAAGATGGTTTCACATGTTTGGACGAGGTCCCCTAAAACAAACTTAAGTGGAAGAGGACCATCTGTAATTCAAGGTCCCCCATCACATGCTTAAGTGGAAGGGGACCCTTGTCCCCTCAAACATGTTTGGACAGGTTCCCCATGTGATGTCCCGTTCGTCCCGTAACGACGGGGCCTTGCCGAGCTTCACCGATGTCCGGTTTCCGACAATGGTGAGGCTTCAGGATGTCTTCCTGGCGGCGCAGAAGAGCATGGAGCAGCGGCTGGAGCAATACCGTTACAGCTACGAGGAGAGCTGGGTTCGTTTGTTAGGCGAAGGTTTTTGTTGCTGTATGGCGATTTATTAGGTTGTGGGTCAAAAATGGGTACCCAAAATGGAACCCTGGCAAATGGAACCCTGGCAACTTGGTCCATATGGCGATTTGGCAGCGGATCTTTGGACTTTAACTTCTTTTGGTTGAAACCAATGGGATTTTCCGAACTGGGCCACTACAAAAGTTAAGCTTTATGGAGGAGGGGTCAGCAGCATTGCTTTCTGCTGGATGTTGGCCTCGTGGCTGCGACGGTTGGGAGAAGCGTTCCTTCGGATTCCCGGGCCCCCCGAAACTCGCGGGGGGGTTTCCGCGGGGCCCGGGATCGGGGACAACGGCGGCGGCGAGACTCGCGGGGCGCGTTGGCAACAGCGAAGAGCCAAACAAAACGACAAATATTGAGAGGTAACAGCAAAGACGGGGATCTTTTGGGGTCATGTTGTTTTTGGGCCAGGCGCAGTTTTTCCGATCCAGGACCTGCGCTCCTGGATCTGCCTCCGGGAGGACGAGAAGACGAAGGACTCGGGGCTGCTCTCGTGGAATGTGATGTGGGCGTGGGTCAAAATTAAACAGGTTTTGGTCCAACAGGAAAACCGTCATGTTGGGAGGCCTCCGGTTTCTTCAGTGATGAAGGTCCATGGAGTATGGGTCAAAATTAAACCGCCGGGAATTGGACCCACAGGTTTTGGTCCATGCCTCTCACCAGGGCATGGTGGCGATGCGGCTCACATTTCGAGTCATGGCGCTGGGGGATTCTGTAACGGGAAGGTGGTCGTTTTTGAACGCGTGTTTTGGCTCGTTTTTGAACGCGGTTTTCCTCAAGTGTATGTGATTTACAGCAGCACGGCCATTTTTCCAAGTGTCCATGCACACCACGATGAGGCGCACGAACACGCACCACGATGCACATGTAGCACATGGATGGCGCCGTGCTTTTGAAAGCACAAGGAGCGCAAAGCGACATCATCATCGTCATCATCATCATCATCATCATTATCATCAACATCGACATCGTCATCATCACCATCATCATCATCATCATCATCATCATCACCATCATCATCATCATCACCATCATCATCATCATCATCAACATCGTCATCATCACTACCAGCAACATCACCTTCATCCACATCAACACCAACATCATCATCGCCATCATCAACATCACCACCAACATCCATATCATCATCATCAACAACACCATCAACATGACCATCATCACCATCATTATCACCATCATCATCATCATCATCAACAACATCAACATCGTCAACATCGTCAACACCGTCAGCATCAACGTCATCACCATCATCATCATTCAAAACATCATCACCATTATCAACATCAACGTCGACATCACCATCATCATCAACAACATCATCAGCATCATCAACATCGTCATAATCATCATCATCATCATGACCATCATCAACACCGTCATAATCACTACCAACAACACCATCAACACCAGTGCGCAGTCGCACGGTCACGCAGTAAGAGGCGAACGTAACTGCCCCGCCCCATCCCCCCCCCCCAGCCGCAGGACGCAATCGCACGGTCAGGCAGCAAGAAGCAAACGCAACAAGTTACCTAGACCGAATGAGCTAAGGAGGTCTTTGTGTTGCGAGGACAAGATAACTCAGAGCTTGAAATTTCACGAGTTTTCACGGCTTTTTCACGGAGTAGTAACGGCCTTTCAGTTTCCCGCGCGAGTTATTACGGCCGTTAGGCCGAGTTTTCACGGCTTTACGGGGGCCAACGAGCGCAAATCGTCGAGGACATCTGAGCTCAAAACGCCAAGGTAACTTGGGACTCGGGGCCCCCTCTTCCCAGCCCCAGGGCGCAGTTGCACGGGCACGCAGTAAGAGGCGAACGTAACTGCCCCGCCCCACCCCCCCCCCCAGCCCCAATACGCAGTTCCACCGTCACGCAGTCAGCAGCGATCGCAATTACCCCCTTCCCCCAGCCCCAGGGTGCAGTCGCACGGTCACGCAGTAAGAGGCGAACGGAACCGCCCCACCCCACCCCCAGCCCCACCCCCAGGACGCAGTGGCACGGTCACGCAGTAAGAGGCAAACGTAACTGCCCCACCTGCCGCAGGATAGCCCCCCATGTGTTCGAAAATGACCCACTCTGTGTTCGAAAATGATCCAGGACATCGGTGTTCGAAAATGATCCAAAATCGGTGTTCGAAAATGATCCCCCTCCCTTCTGTAACCAGCCGGATTTGACCTTGCTTGCTTTCCTCCTTTCTCCCTTTTTATGCCTTGTTGCCTTTTTGCCTTGTTGCCTTTTTGCCTTTTTGCCTTTTTGCCTTTTTGCCTTTCTTCCTTTCTTCCTTTCTTCCTTTCTTTTTTTCTTCCTTTCTTCCCTTCTTTCCTTCTTCCTTTTTTCCTTTGTTCCTTTCTTTTTCTTCCTTTCTTCCTTTCTTCCTTTCTTCCGTTTCTTCCTTTCTTCCTTTCTTCCTTTCTTCCTTTCTTCCTTTCTTCCTTTCTTCCTTTCTTCCTTTCTTCCTTTCTTTCTTCCTTTCTTCCTTTCTTCCTTTCTTCGTTTCTTCCGTTTCTTCCTTTCTTCCTTTCTACTTTTCTTCCTTTCTTCCTTTCTTCTGTTTCTTCCTTTCTTCCTTTCTGCTTTTCTTCCTTTCTTCCTTTCTTCCTTTCTTCCCTTCCTCCTTTCTTCCTTTCTTCCTTTCTTCCCTTCCCCCTTTCTTCCTTTCTTCCTTTCTTACTTCCTTCCTGCCTTCCGGCCTTCCTGCCTTCCTGCCTGCCTGCCTGCCTGCCTTCATTCATTCCTTCCTTCCTTCCTTGCTTCCTTGCTTGCTTGCTTCCTTCCTTCCTTCCTTCCTTCCGTCCGTCCGTCCGTCCGTCCGTCCGTTCTTTCTTTTTTGGTTTCTTTCCTTCCTTTCTTAATTTCTTTTCTTCTTTTCTTTCTCATTGTTTTTCTTGTTTTTTTTTTAATTTTCTTCTTATACTATTTCTTTTTATTTTTCTTCCTTTCTTTGTTCTCTTCTGTCTTTCCTTCTTATTTTTGTTCTTTCGTCTTTTCTTCCTTCTTTTATTTCTTTCTTACTTGTTCTTTTTCTATTCTTTCTTTCCTTTCTTCTTTCTTTTAGTTATCTATTCTTCTTCTTCCTTCCTTCCTTCCTTCCTTTCTTTCTTTCTTTCTTTCTTTCTTTCTTTCTTTCGTTCTTGCCCTTCCCTTCTTCTTTCTTTCTTTCTTTCTTTCTTTCTTGCTTTCTTTCTTTCTTTCTTTCTTGCTTTCTTGCTTTCTTGCTTTCTTGCTTTCTTGCTTTCTTGCTTTCTTGCTTTCTTGCTTTCTTTCTCTTCACAGCAGTGCAGCAGTGGGGGCCATGTGCATGGACACCCTATGGGCAAGCCTCTTGCAGCTCTTGTTGCTCACAGGAAGCAGAGAGGGCTAGGCGGCACTATTTGGAGGAGCAGGCGTGGCATCGTTGTCTCGTAGGCCAAGCATTGTTTGCTAGCCTGGGGCTGTTGGTTTGGAAAGCAAAAGTCGTCCAATGACATTTTGTGTCCAAGTTCTGCCGGTCTCATTGAGTGAAGAGCCTTATTCTGAAGATCGATCATAATTTGTTGTCTGACGTAGGAAGGCTCAAGCAAGACAATCGCTCCGTATTTGCGTGATACTGACAGGTCAGGAAGCAGCAAGCGCAGATGGAGAGACTTCAGGAGAGACGAACGGACAGAACTTGTCACTGAAGATGGCGAACAATAACTGGCTATGATTGTTGGATAGGGACCCATCCACAAGTTTTGTTGGACATGAATGATGTCCACTGAAGGGGTCCCCTGCTAAAGTTCATGCCCAAATCGGCACCTTCGTTGGGGGGGCCGCTTTGGGCCATGAGTTGGGCTATGCGACGACTTTGTCACTTTGAAGGGTTTGCCTTGTCACGGAAAGTGGACAAAACCCCCAAGGTTGGAGCTTTCTGAGCCTCCACATGAGTAAATTCTCTCGTGTGCTCTTCTCAACCCCAACAGGCACTTGGGTGTGTGTCAAATTTAGTTTCCCCAGCCAGGGGCGACAAGGGTACCCTCAAAAAAAACCACCCGCTTGAAGGAAGACCGGCAGGACGAATCCACCGCCTGCCAGCTGCGGGCCACCAACGCGGAGGGCCAGTGCGACACTTGGAGAGCGGATATTTGTGTGTGTGTGTGTGTGTGTTAAAACCAGCTGAACCCCAGCTGTACTTGAAAACCCAGCCACTCGAAACTGACCGGTTGTACTCGAAAGATGAGTTTTTTGTCTTCTCCTTTTTTTTTTCTCCCGGGAGTTGAAGTGTGTGTGTCTTGGAGCCTTGGGGTTGCTTTTACTGAACGCCAAGGGGAAAGCCGCCATGTTCTTTGGTTGCCAAATGTTTCGACACATCCCCGTGTTGCTTTGGTTTTGTTCATGGTTCGTCTTCAAAGGGCAAAGCCTTTTCTGTGCGGGTTGGGAAGAAGTGGGGAAGAACTGTGGCTGAGTATTTTCAATGGCATGAAACAAGCCCTTGAAGCCGGTCCCCGGTTTTGACACGGCCGAAAGTGGAACTTTGGGCAGAAGATGATGCACATTTTCAGCTTTGGAGGTATTTGTGTTGTTAGGCGTGTGGGAACCGTCGGTGCGCACGAATTGCCGTCTGCGAAACGGCTCTGGCTCAAAAAACCGGTACCAACATGGAACCCTGGTAAGTGGAGCCGTGGGTACCACAGCCTGCGCCATTTTTTAGCTCTCTCGTTTTCAGGCCCAAGTGGCCGAGCGAGCCTCACACCCAAAAAATCTTTGGCTCAGGGTGCGGCAGCGGGAGATGCAGATCTTGAACCTTCAGGAGTCCGTGGCGAAGGCGCAGCAGGAGCCGGGGAGCCCAGGTCCCAGGGCCGGAGGCCAACGAAACTCACGTGGCTGTGTCTGAAAATCGGGTTTCCCTTTAAAACCCCAAAATGGGTAACCCCCAAAAAGAAGAGAGACCCATGTTCAGTTCGCGTCAGTTTCGTGAAGCTCGGGGGGCTTGGCTGAGCAGTTTCCCAGCTTGATGGCGCTTGGCAGGCGCGATGGATGGCTCACTCGGCTGGACAAGGTGCAAGAGGGGGGTGTCCAAAGCATTCACGCACAAGCACGGCCAGCCCGCTGAAAAGAAGAGGGAGGTTGCTCTTATTGAGATGTCCAGACGTTCACCCGTATGGCCGCATTCCATTGGTACTTAGTTACTTCTAGTTGCTGTTGTCTTGAATTCATTGAGATTGTCACACCGCACCATGTGGCCGAACAATTCAAGCGCGGTTTGTCCCATAGCAGACAGTGCCGCGCATTTTTGCCCTTCAAAGCACGAGTCCCCTTTTCTACTCTTGCGCGCGCAAAACACAGCGGCGGCGTGAAGCGCCAGGTCTTGCCGGACGTGGAGCACGCCAGCATGGCCCGGGAAGACGCCCTCATGCAGTACGAGAACATCCGCCACCGCACCGAGGCGTCGACCCGCGAAAGGGTCCAAAACGCAGAACTGGTAAGTGCTGAGCGTGCTCTGGCATGTTTTGTGTCACACGTTTGGAGGTGGACACCTTCCAGGCAGTGACCAGCTCTCGCTCACATCTCTTTCCAGGTCTTCGAGCAGGTCAAGGCGAGCCTGGAGAGGCAGCTGGCACGGGACTGAGGACCCGGGAACCGAAGGCCTTGGGTTCCTTCTCGCGCGAAAGGATGAGGAGCAGCTGGGGTTTGGGGCTTCCAGTTGTCAGACTTCAGAAAAGTGGCTATGAAACAAGGACCGAACACCGGTGTGAGTACCTAGAGTCTCCATGACCCTCAATAAATGGGGTCAATACCCAACATAAAGGGGTCATGTGCCCATTTTTAAAGGGTCATGGAGACTCCAGGTAGTGGTTTCCTTTGCTTTTTGTCGTTTTTATCGCCAGGCGGGAAGAGACTCTTTCGGTTTTTTGTTTGCGGCTTCAGCTTCCAGGGAGGCAGGCCAGCGGGCCATGGATCCCGGGTGCGTTGAGCCTTGCCACGAGAGCTCTTGCTGAGACCCAAGCCAAAATGGAGATCCAGCGGCTTGTGGCTGCGATGCAGAGGCCAGAAAACAGCGACAGGGGGGCTGAGACCGAGCTGGGAGCCGAGAAATTATAAGCCCCCTTCCGAATATGGGGGCCCTTTGGTAGACATCGTTTAGGTGGAGATTTATGTCCCCCAACCACTTTTCAGGGATTCCCCATTTAAGATTTATAGCCATATGGGTGTGTCTTTTTTTGAGGGTACCCTTAATCGGTAGGTGTTCAAGCAACACCAAGACAAACACCATCATTTTGGGAGGTTTCCCCGAAAAAGGACACCCTACATTTTCTCTCCAGGATTCCAAAAGCACAGTTACTCTTTGCCGCCTTCGCAGAGTGCACATGTGGCAGCGGGTGAGCGACCGACTGAGATGCGTGAACGGCTTGCAAGATCAATGCGGAAACGTGGAATCTTTTGAAACGGTACTCTTTCTGGTGTTAGGCAGGAAGAAAAGCACGCTTTTAGTCTGCAGCAGCACGTGACAGGCAAACTGCTGATGCCAGCACTCAAGCTTGGCACCCAGCTTCGTTGAAGCCAAACAACTTCATTGTAGGGCTGAGTACCCTGAAGACATGTTCGTTCTAGTGCCGCATTCTTTCCAATGCACCTTTGGCAATTCTCTCCCATTTTCGGCACCATTTGGTTTTTTACAGGCCCATGCTATTTGTGGGGGAATCTGGCCAGTGTAGCTTTCTTCAACTAAATCAAGTAGGATCTGAATTTCTGGACATGTTGCCAGGTTGAAGTTTGTTTGGAACCATTTAATAATTTGTAGAAAGGCCAGTTTGCCGCACAAAGTCTGGCTAGTATCGAATTGCCTCCTTGTCAATGTCACTGAAGTTGGACACCTCACACGAATGTGTCATATTATGAGCCAATACTAGCGACCGCAAGACGACTGTTCTCTTGAAGATAGTGGCTACATTTGCTAGCTCGTCCCCCAAGCATTGAGCTTAGCTTCCGTGGATTTGATTGAAGTGGCGTGCAGCCTTCCATGCCCGCCCGATGCGCTGTGTTAGTTTGGAGGGTGCTCACCTCAGCTTTGTGAGCCTGCACTTCAGGCTGAAAACGTTTGGCCGCACCTAGCTATGATCAAGGCATTTTAAAGGGGCTAAACGACAAGAACGGAGGATGCAATGACCCGCGAAGTCTGCGTGCAGCGTGGCAACCGCCCAGGTTGTGCTGTCCTTGAACGATAGCCAAGTTCAAACTGACCTCTCCTACCAGTGCCCCCACTTGGCCCCACCACCACGAAGCCGCTTGCTACTAGTGCCATGCGGTAGGCACTGGGCTGAACAGGTGGCAGTTTCATGTCATTTTCGCGAGCGCAGAAACGGTTGCCGTTTTTCACCACTGAAGAGAGTAGTGCCCTGGGAGCCTGGAAATGCTCGGGGATACTGACAGGTACTTGGAGTCACGCACTCGGATGAGCCAGTCGCTGGATGTATCAAGTGGATCTCTCGAGATGGCGTGTTCAGATGAGAATGTTGAGTCTCCCACGGTTTGCCTGTTTCGCACGTTGATTCCCTACCACTTTTGGTCTTGTCTCTCCCGTGGCCGGAGCTTTTTCGTCGGACGCGATGAAAAACGCCGAGGCAGGCAGACCACATGCAGGGCGATCGGTGGCGCCGCGATAGGCGAGCGATCGCAGGGTTTGGCGCTGGGTGAATATGGTAAGGGGGATATGCAATTGGGATGTTTGGATGGGAGCATAAGGACTGGTGCACGGAAAGGAGAGCGATGGGGGGCATTTACACGGGGAGGGATATTCATGGTGGTGTCTTCTTGAATGCGGGAGGGTGGGGGATTTCTAGAAGTGTGGCGGCGGCGGGGGTTGTGAGATGGAGATGTTCCAAGACAAAATAGGACGGAATGGGAGGTTGATATTAGCTTATTTGAGCATGTTTCCGCTTTTGTTTCCGCAGCCACCAGACAAGCGAGCAAGCAAGCAGGCAGGCAGGCAGGCATGCAGGCAGGCAGGCAGGCAGGCAGGCAGGCAGCACTCAAGCACTCAAGCACTCAAGCACTCAAGCACTCAAGCACTCAAGCACTCCAAGCAAGCAAGCAAGCAAGCAAGCAAGCAAGCAAGCAAGCAAGCAAGCAAGCAAGCAAGCAAGCAAGCAAGCAAGCAAGCAAGCAAGCAAGCAAGCAAGCAAGCAAGCAAGCAAGCAGCAAGCAAGCAAGCAAGCAAGCAAGCAAGCAAGCAAGCAAGCAAGCAAGCAAGCAAGCAAGCAAGCAAGCAAGCAAGCAAGCAAGCAAGCAAGCAAGCAAGCAAGCAAGCAAGCAGCAAGAGAAGGCAAGCAGGCAAGCAGGCAAGCAGGCAAGCAGGGAAGCAAGCAAGCAGGCAAGCAGGCAAGCAGGCAAGCAGGCAAGCAAGCAAGCAAGCAGGCAAGCAGGCAAGCAGGCAAGCAGGCAAGCAGGCAAGCGGGCAAGTGGGCAAGCGGGCAAGCGGGCGAGCGGGCAAGCGGGCAAGCAGGCAAGCACGCAAGCAGGCCAGCAGGCAGGCAACCAGGCAGGCAGGCAAGCAAGCAAGCACGCACAGACGCACGCAAGCAAGCAAGCAAGCAAGCAAAATCAAGCCCATTCTAAACCTACCCTAAATCAACACAAACCCACTCCAAACCCACCCCGAACCATCCTATACCAACAAGCCTGGCATTCAATGCGTGTTCGATGATCACGCTACGACTGCTATGCCTACTTGGTGAACAAATGTGCCAAAGCGACATTTTATAAATAGTTTCGTTCAAGTTTAGCCATGAATGACAGCAAGTTTCCACTAAAACCTCCCCCCTCACACGAATTCGCGCTGCGTTGGGTTGGACACGTTTTCCAATCTGCCCTGTGGGACTGCCAGACTCGACTCCCTGAAGCGGGCCTCCAACTTCGTGGACGATCATGACGAGCGCGGGCCCCGGGGTGTTGCTGGGCGTTTCTGGTTGGTATGCTGGGTTTTTTCGGACCCACATGCTGGTGGTACCGGTCTTTCGATGAAGGCCAACCAGGAGGTTTTTTCCATTTGGCTGTGGCTCAAAATTAAACAGGAGGGGCAAACCGCAGGTTTTGGTCCATGTTTCTACTTACCAGGGTTCCATTTTGGTACCGGTTTTTGGAGCCACAGCCATTTTGGTGCCGGCTTTTTGAGCCGCCTGCTGGCTGTGGCTTGGCCGTGCCGGAGCCCCGAACCTGGGCAGGAAGCGAGACTTCACGGTGATCATGCGCACCACGGCACCTCCGGTGGCGCAGCTGGGCGAAAGGCGCGGAACGGAGCCCAGTTGTTTGGCTCAAAGTTGTTTGGCTCAAACTGGTGGACCCCCCCCCCAAAATGGGCGGCGAACCTCTCTTGGTTTGCCCTTTTGAAACCAACCAGACAGGGGCGCCCCAAAATGGAGGGGTTTCCGTTTGGGTGCCCTTTGAAGCCTGCCCTCCAAAAAAAAAGGACCTCTCTATGGCCCATGTCTTTTGCTAAGCAACCCTCCATTTGGCCGTGGCTCAAAAAACTGGGTAACCCCAAAATGGGTTGCCCTGGAAAATGGAAACAAAGACGAAGACCCAAGCGGCCCCTCGTGTGGTAATTTTTGACTCTCCATTTCGCCGGGGGAGCTTGCAGCAGGCCGGGCCCAACTCCGTCCGCCCGAAGCTGAGATGTGAGCCGCTCTTTGTTGGCCGGACGGCGCTGGCAAGAACATCGGAGCGCACATGGGAGTATTGGCTTGTTGGGGTATAGACAGATTCTAATATATACATATATACACGGTATGCTTTTCTGCATATCACATATATCATATGTACATATATATAGATACATATATATATATACATATATATATATATACATATATACATATATATATATATACATATGCATAGTGTACACATGAGATGATGTTTTTCGTCCACGCCTTGGCGTGTGGTTTGCCACGCCCAGTTGCCGGAGCCCTGGCCGCGGCCGCCGGTGGCAACGCCCTCCGTGAGCTCGCAGAAGATCCAGGCCTCGATGGGTCGGTCGGTTTTTGCAGGAACCTGGGGAGGCGGGGGTTTGCCGTTTGGAGCTGTTGCCCCCTTTTTGTGTGGTTTTTTTACGGGGAAAACCAAAAGGAAAACAGACCGTTGGGGAGGTGGGGGGAGGGGCTTTATGGGGGCTTGTTTGGAGCTGGTGCCTTCCTTGTTTTGGCAACAGCCATTGGGGGGGGCACCTTGAAAGAGTAAAAACGACTTGTTGAGTTCCTCAGAATCCACATGGAACGCCAGCCCAATGCGAAAAAACCACCCAAACAACCCCACAAATTGTTTCTACTTCTCGGCGCCCCTCGCGCCTTCCCCGCCCGAGCTTCACACCGCGGAGGCCATGCGCCGCAGCTTCCCCGTGGGCGCCGGGCTCCGCGGTGGCCTCCACGTGTCCCAGGCACGCCCTGCGGCGAAAGGAAGCCGAGGTGAAGAGGGCTGAAACGGAAAGAGCGCCGTTTTTTTTTTTGGCCGGCAGTTGAAAAAGATGTGGTTCGTTTTGTACAAGACCGGAATAAAGTTTGGGCAACAAAAAAAACACCGCCGTTTGCAAGTTGCGATGTTCAGGTGTAGAATGTAAGGATCCCTGCTAGAGGGGAAATGGGGGATTGTTCCTGGGAAGGATGCGGTTTCCACGAGGGAACGGTTGAAGCCTTCAGGGAAAATGGGAGAGTTTTTCCCTGGGAAGAATGCACAAGTGCGATTGGTGGAGAATGTGGGAATGAACCCATTCCCTTACAGGAAGCCAGCAGTGGGATATGGTTTAGACGGGTCATTCCGTTTCACATTCCCTGCTGGAGCACCAGCAAGTTGAAATGGTCGCGGCCTTTCGTGTCCGCTGGCTGGAGTTTTTTGCGGGAAGCTGAGCTCATGGTATGTCTAACTACCCCCTAGCCAACTCCCCCCCCGCCCCCCGCTCAAGTTAATTTGACTGGGGCTAAAATGCCAACTAGACCCTTTCCATCGTTCAACCGGCCCAACGCCACTCCCTGAAACCCTGCATCGCAGCAGAATTCAAATACTTGGGATTGCGTTGGCGTGTGGTGAGTTTTTTTTGCACAGCTCGCTACTCACTATTGATTGACGCTCCCTTGCCCCCATAAAAAAAATACAAACTGTGTCAAAGTACCTAAAGTCAAACAGAAAGCAAACCATAAGGACACCTGATTTCAAGATTTGCAATCAAGCCAACATAAGGCCAAAATAAGGGCAACCCCAAGATTTGAAATAAGGCCAACATAAGGCCAAAATAAGGCCGAAATAAGGGCAAAAAAGACAAAAATAAGGGCAACCCCCAACGGCATTTGGAAATAAGGCGAAATAAGGCCAACATAAGGCCAAAATAAGGCCGAAATAAGGCCGACATAAGGGCAACATAAGGCCGAAATAAGGGCCCCCCCAACGGTGTTTAAAAAATTCTCAGACAAGGCCAACAGAAGGACAAAATCGTGCCAAAATAAGGCAGCAGATCGTTTCCACGGCATCCATTACAATCTGGCTGCAATACGATTTTGAAAAAGGTTCCGCTAGACAATTTCCTCATGTTGTTTTTGTTTGTGAGAGCTTGATTAGATTGATATATTGCGCGTCAGATGTTGCGGTTTGTGTGTTTTCTGAAACTATGCCTTGTCTTGCACCCAGCAAACGCCTCAGCCCAAAAATAAGACCAAAATAGCGGTGACGAAAGAAGTTGAAGCAGTAGCCGCTATTTTGGACTTATTCTGATGACTTAGAAATAAGGGCTTATATATTAAGACCCTAGTAAGGCCTTAATAAGGGGTTATCCCTAATTCCAGAAGGGGGGTGGTAGTCAGCTAGGGGGTAGTTAGGCATACCATGATGAGCGTGGCGATCGGCTGCAGGTGAAAACCACCGGGTGATGGCCGACCTGAGAGGGCCAATCCATCGCTGGATACGCTTGAAACAAAGACCCCGAAGTTCCACCATGCGCGGTTTCGGGATGTCAAGTTTGGATGCCCTGAAAAAGCTTGGGATGTTTAGACGCCCTCAAAAAATCAACAACAAACCAAATCGGTTCAAGCATGTTTAGACTAAAGTCCTGGATGCACCGGAAAACGGTTCCCCTGTTTCACGCGCAGGCCTTCGACCCTACAGGGGCTGTTGGCATGGCAAAAGGATGCGGGTGCAGAGGTTCTTGTGATTTTGAGTGGTCAACTTTTGGGAATAAATTGCTTCCTTTTGTGGCTCCTGCTACTCATGGCTGTATTGAAGAAAGAATGACACCCTGATGGCAACTACTGAATGCGTTTCAGGCACATTGCTGCCAACATTGCCTTGAAAACATTATCCGTACTCATCCTGCCACTCAGCTGCTTCATTTTGGCTCTGTCGTTGGGATGTGGACGCTAGCACACCACTTGAAATTTGTTGGGCCGAAAACTCCTGGTCAGACCCTCGGCACAGCATTTTTGACTCCTATTTCCGAGATTCCCCAGGAACATGTACAGAATGGTCATGTTTGGCTCACACACCGGACACAGAAGCATGAGCAGCTATGAAGGCGGGTGGGGGCAGGGTCAGATGGGTGTGTTATCGTTGATTTTCTGCTGTGGTTTGTTTGTTTGTTTGTTTGTTTGTTTGTTTGTTTGTTTGATGTTTCTTGTTTGTTGTCTGTTTGTTTGTTGCCTGATTGTTTGTTGCTTGTTTGTTTGTTTGTTTGTTTGTTTGTTTGTTTGTTTGTTTGCTGCTTGTTTGTTTGTTATTTGTTTGAACAATGTAATGTATGTATAAATGTACGTAATATAATGCAATGACGTGCAATGCAATGTAATGTAGTGCAATACAATGTAATGCAACGCAATGCAATGTAATGTAACCAAACGTAATGTAATAGCATGTCAATGTAATGTAAGGTAATGTAATGTATCGTAAATGTAAATGGCAATGTCAATGCAAGTGTAATGTACATGTAATGTAATGTAATGTATGCATGCATGTATGTATGTAATGTAATGTAATGTAATGTAATGTAATGCAACGTAACGCAACGTAACGTAACGTAGTGTAGTGTAGTGTAGTGTATGTATGTATGTATGTGTGTATGTAGTGTAAATATATAATGTAATGTAATGTAATGTGCTGTACTGTAATGGAATATAATGCAATGTAATGCAATGTAATGTATGTACTGAATGTGTGTATGCATGTAATGTATGTATGTAATGTAATGTAATGTAGCGTAATGTAATGTCATATAATGTAATGTAATGAACGTGTAATGTAATGTAATATAATTTAAGCTATGTATGTAATGTATGTGTGTAATGTATGTATGTATGTATGTATGTAATGTAATGTAATGTAATGTAATGTAATGTAATGTAATGTAATGTAATGTAATGTAATGTAATGTAATGTAATGTATGTAATGTATGTATGTAATGTAATGTAATGTAATGTAATGTAATGTAATGTAATGTAATGTAATGTAATGTAATGTAATGTAATGTAATGTAATGTAATGTAATGTATGTATGTATGTATGTATGTATGTATGTATGTATGTATGTATGTATGTATGTATGTATGTATGTATGTATGTATGTATGTATGTATGTATGTATGTATGTATGTATGTAATGTATGTATGTATGTATGTATGTATGTATGTATGTATGTATGTATGTATGTATGTATGTATGTATGTATGTATGTATGTATGTATGTATGTATGTATGTATGTATGTATGTATGTATGTATGTATGTATGTATGTATGTATGTATGTATGTATGTATGTATGTATGTATGTATGTATGTATGTATGTATGTATGTATGTATGTATGTATGTATGTATGTATGTATGTATGTATGTATGTATGTATGTATGTATGTATGTATGTATG